TAGTAGTAGTAGTAGTAGTAGTAGTAGTAGTAGTAGTAGTAGTAGTAGTAGTATTGTGTGTGGCAAAGGTTCCTGCAATTTCTGTGTGGAATTCCTATTATTAGACAGACACAGACAGACAGCCAAGCAGACAGACGGGCGAACGTGCGGATTTATAGATAGATAGGTAGATAGATAGATAGATAGATAGATAGATAGATAGATAGATAGATAGATAGATAGATAGATAGATAGATAGATAGATAGATAGATAGGTTGTTTGCTACCCACGTTTTTCTAAAACGATTCTATATCGTATAAAAAATGTGCGTACGTCTAGAGTTAATTTTGTTTGTGTCATGTTATCCCAAACGATTTAATCTTACCCCAGGGGGCTCTCTTTGTCCAAAGGTTTGCCTCTCATTCAATAGGTCTCGGGTTCGAAGCTTGACAGCGACGTACATTTTTCTTCTTTAAAAATGTTCTCCTTTCACCTCTTTTCCTGCTCTCTAACAGTGTTCTGTCGTCTGCTTTCGTCTTCAGTTTCTGCCCCCACCAACCCTCTTTGCCCCCTCCTCTGGGCTCCTGACTCTTTCTGCAGCCTTTCTACTGCTTTTCGTTGGCTCCATCTTACTGCTGACTTTCAGCCACACCCCCTGATCTTATGATAGGTAAGATGTAACACCTATAGCCTTCTCGGATAAGGCAAAATCTCGTAGATCCTGTGTACATGTTGTGCACGTTAAAAGATCCCTTGGTGGTCCAAAATCGATGAGAATAGGCTTCGGCCATCATCCGGGCGAAATTTAAAATCAATTCCTACCAAACTGAAAATGTTTAATGAGTCCCGCGCGTTCATATGGCCTTGTGCAGTTACGAGCGCCGTAAAACACTTACTAAAACAAAAACAAATAAAAAATGGTATCCCACCACATCTCATCTCATCCAGCACATGTGTCCATGGTCTAAGAGAAGAATCTAAGATCATGATGGTCCTGGATCAACACCACATCCAGACGGTCAAAGGTTCCTGCACAGGTACGTGTACTTGCTGGAATGCTTTTAAGTACAGTATTAGAGTAAAGAGAATAACATTTTGCAGATTTTAACACATTAATGGTCATTCGTGCAGAGGGAAAGTAAAGAAGTAGGACCTACTAGCTGTGTCCTCCAACCCACCGCTATCTGAAATGCTTTGTCTGTTAGTTTAATAATTTTAAGATTAAGAGAAATCAAATCTTTTAGTTTGTTCAAATGTTAGCTTAAGTCATTTCTGATTTTAAATTGATGATAGATCTATATCTTTATGTATAGACTAAAAATATTGTCAGTCAGAACACTATTTACTGTTTGTGTGTTACTGATGTATTGTAAAACATTCAGAGCCTGTGTTGTTTATTCAGGGTTAGGCGCTATGAATATTATAAATTACGCCATAAATCCACCATTATTTCAGCCTCGTATTCAGTCACTGCTCGTGAGATTCTCATGGGAAAGGAGATCACCGTGGTCTACGAGGAAAAGGGAGGGTGTGGACGGTCTGAGTCCTTGACTTGTGTCATCACTGAGGAAGAAAACGGTAAGCGTCCTTTCGGAAGTTTTTAAAAACACATAATTATTATTTGTGAAAACAGTTGACAAAATGAGTGAACTCTCCCAATCCACAAATGGAGTTATCGGTGGAAAATTAAAATTGAAACAGAAGTTAAATGTGTAGATTTTTAACTCGCCCCATTTTCTTCAAGTACATGTCTTTTATTATGATTAATATTAAGAAATTGGACAAAACTCAGCCTGCAGATTTTATGCATCTACGAGAAGTATGTCCAAAGATTAAACTCCGATAAATAACTCTACACGTAGTTTTCTAGGCTCGCCTCACATTTTCCCACAATGGTGTTGTGATTGTTATAGTAGACTGTAGATGTTTTATGCCCACATCGACACAATTTAGATCATTTAGGAGGTGGATTTTGACAGTACCTGTACAGCCAGGGCCTACCAGGGCTGAGGGGGATACATTGCCCTGCTGAAAGACAGAGATACTCGATAAAGATTCTCCTCTCTCGATAATCAAAATTGTGGCCGGAACAAGAACCGGGTCGTGAATCAAGAAATCATCAGAAAAAGAAGTTAACGAGCCAAAACAACAGACTTAAACTTAATTAAGCTTACATAAAAATCTTTTATTTTTACTACAGTGCATTTCTTCTGTATTAATAAATACGTTTCGGACACGGTTAGCAATTTTACTTTATTCTCACAAAATCCTATTGAGGGGTTTGGAAACTACCTCAATCTCACACTTACAAAATTAAAAATTTTTTTTATTGGTAAGTGTTTTACGGCGCTCGCAACTGCATACGGTCATATGAACGCGCAGGACACACCTAATAATATTTTCAGTAGATAGGAAATTTTGATTTTTGCCCGGGCGGCGGCCAAAGCCTATACGTATCGATTTTAGACCACCAAGGGATCTTTAACGTGCACAACTTGCTCTCGGGTCCTCCGAGATTTTTTACCCTTGTCCGAGAAGGCTAGGTGTAGATCTTTCCTATACGAAGATCAGGGGTGTGGCTGAAGGACAGCAGTAAAAAGGAGCCAAGTAGTAGCAGTAGAAAGGCTGCAGAAAGAGTCAGGAGCTCAGAGGAGGGGGCGAAGGAGGTGAGGGGGTGGAGGCAGAAGGAGGAGACGAAAGCAGACGACAGAACATTGCTAGAGAGCAGAAAAAGAGGTGAAAGGAAACAATTTTAGAGAAGAAAATTTTTCGGTCGCTACCCGGATTCGAACCCGGGACCTTTGAATGAGAGGCCAACACCTTAACCTCTAGGCCACGAGAGCCCCTCAATCTCACACTCTGAAAGCGTTCTTGTGGCATCGTGGTGAAACCAGGCGCTTGTTAAAATAAAGACAGTTTTCTGCCTGTTGGGCAAATCTTATTGATTTTTGGAGGGTTCGACGCCTTTTATGTCCATTTAAAGATTCATTTATGTGTGAATTTTACTGAAAAACTTTGATAAAAGGCATAAAAAAGTAAATTTGCAGTTTCCAATGACACGGAAGTTTTGGAAGTCACCAAACTTTGGAGGCCATTTCCTCATTCACTTTACCTCTGACACCAGGAGACACAATTTAGATCATGTAGGAGTCAGGCTCCCGACCCGGCCGGTAATGACAATAATAATAATAATAATAATAATAATAATAATAATAATAATAATAATAATAATAATAATAATAATAATAATAATAATAATAATAATAAGAAGAAGAAGAAGAAGAAGAAGAAGAAGAAGAAGAAGAAGAAGAAGAAGAAAAAGAAGAAGAAGAAGAAGAAGAAGAAGAAGAAGAAGAAGAAGAAGAAGAAGAAGAAGAAGAAGAAGAAGAAGAAGAAGAAGAAGAAGAAGAAGAAGAAGAAAAGGAAAAAGAAGAAGAAGAAAAGGAAGAAGAAGAAGAAGAAGAAGAAGAAGAAGAAGAAGAAGAAGAAGAAGAAGAAGAAGAAGAAGAAGAAGAAGAAGAAGAAGAAGAAGAAGAAGAAGAAGAAGAAGAAGAAGAAGAAGAAAAGAAGAAGAAGAAGAAGAAGAAGTAGAAGAAGAAGAAGAAAAAGGATGATGATGATGTTGAAGATAATGAGGATGAGGATGATGACAATAACAATAACCTCACCACCACCACCAACAACAACAAAAATAAGCATAACAAAATCAGAAACAACAGAAAAGGATACTAAATATTGAAAAATTGTGAAATAGTATAGGTTTAACACCTCTATCCACACAAAATATACTGACATATCATCATGCACTTCACCCAAAAGAGCACAACAGATTACAAGAAATTGGTGCTCAATATTCAAAATATGAATACTTCGTTTTCAAAATACATTGTCACAGTTGCACAACATCCCGAAATATGGCCAGAACAAGAACCGGGTCCTGAATCAAGAGGGTGGTCTGAACAAGAACCGGGTCCTGAATTAAATGGATTACCAGAACAAGAACCGGGTCCTGAATCAAGAGGGTGGCCAGAACAAGAGCCGGGTCCTGAATCAAGAGACTGGCCGGAACAAGAACCGGGTCCTGAATCAAATGGATTACGAGAACGAGAACCGGGTCCTGAATCAAGAGGGTGGCCAGAACAAGAACCGGGTCCTGAATTAAATGGAATACAAGAACAAGAACCGGGTCCTGAATCAAATGGATTGCCAGAACAAGAACCGGGTCCTGAATCAAGAGGGTGGCCAGAACAAGAACCGGGTCCTGAATTAAATGGAATACAAGAACAAGAACCGGGTCCTGAATCAAGAGGATGGCCAGAACAAGAGCCGGGCCCTGAATCAAATGGAATACCAGAACAAAAACCGGTTCCTGAATCAAGAGGATGGCAAGAACATGAACTGGGTCCTGAATCAAGAGGATGGCAGGAGCAGAAACTGGAACCTGAATTAAGAGGATGACCGGAACAAGAACCGGGTCCTGAATCAAGGGGATGGAAAGAACAAGAGCCGGGTCCAGAATCAAATGGAATACCAGAACAAGAACCGGGTCCTGAATCAAGAGGATGGCCGGAACAAGAACCGGGTCCTGAATCAAGGGGATGGAAAGAACAAGAGCCGGGTCCAGAATCAAATGGAATACCAGAACAAGAACCGGGTCCTGAATCAAGAGGATGGCCAGAACAAGAGCCGGGTCCTGAATCAAGAGGGTGGCCTGAACAAGAACCGGGTCCTGAATCAAATGGATTACCAGAACAAGAACCGGGTCCTGATTCAAGAGGGTGGCCAGAACAAGAACCGGGTCCTGAACCAAATGGATTTCCAGAACAAGAACTGGGCCCTGAATCAAGACGATTGCCGAAACAAGAACCGGGTCCTGAATCTAGAGGATGGCTGGAAAAAGAACCGGTTCCTCAATCAAATGGATTACCAGGACAAGAACCGGGTCCTAAATCAAGAGGGTGGCCGGAACAAGAACATGATGTCTAAGGCCAAATATAGTTAAATATACCAAAGAGAACATATTTACTTGGCACCAGCATGCATATCCTGAAATGTTCACATTTACCTTTCTAATTTGTGTATGTGTGTGTGTGTGGGGGGGGGGGGGGTTGGTTTAAACAGTGTGCAACATTTCCTTTAAGGCTCTGCTGAATGAATTAATCACAAACGCCGCGCAAGTCAAACAGATGATAGAAATGAGTTCGATTTTTAAAAACCACAATAACAGCACCAACATCAACAACAACATCTTCACCACAACCACCACCACCAGTAACAACACCACCGCCACTGCCAACAACAACAACAACAACATACATGTACGTTGATACCAAAAGCAACAGCAATCCAAAATTTAACATGCGATATAGACAAAATAAATTCCAATAAACTAAATGCATTTCTAGCGTTTTTCATGCGTTTTTTTTTGGTTTTTTTTTTGTTTCTTTGTTTTCTTGGGGTTTTGTCTTTTTTTGGGTCTTCTTTTTTGGTAAATTTCTTAGTTATTATTTTGATTCTCTTCTCCTTCATTGGTATTCACTTAAAGATAACTTCAGACTGTTAAACGTGTGTAGGTCTGTGCAAATAAGCGCGCGTGTGCGCGTGCGCACGTGTGATTATGGGGGGATGGCGGGGGTTGTTTGTGTTATGTGTGTGTCTGTGTGTGTGTTTAAATGTGCGTATGCATAATTTATGTGTGTGTATGTATGTATCTATGTATGTTACTTCTTACTTCGACACACTTCTTATGCTTTTAGCTTCTTTTTTTTCTCCAGTTCAAGTATATTTGTATTTTGAACTTGCTGAGTGGCATTTGAATTTCCTAAGTGTTACATTTTGTTTGGGATTTCAATGCTTACATTTAAAACAGCTCTTACTATATATACTAGGGATTTTTATAACCTCACTTTGGATTTCCTAGATGCAATTTGGTCTTTTTTATGTGGAATTATTGTTAGAGAGCAGGAAAGGAGATGAAAGGAAAACATTTTGGGGAAGAAGGGAATACATTTTTCTGACGATGTCCTTATTTTTTTTAATTGTAAGTATTTTACGGCACTTGCAACACAATAAGGTCATGGCATATAAGTGCCGAAGATAAGATGTGTTAAACAAGAGAGTAATAAACACAAAAAAGAGGGGAGATAAGGATGATAGATGTTTAATAGGAAAGAAGGAGCAAACCACACCAGAGCACCCCCAACCACCCACGTCGCTATCCGGATTCGAACCCGGACCTATTGAAGGAGAGGCGAATTCCGCAAACATCTAGACAACTTGCAACACAAATAGGTCATATACGTGCTGAAGATTAGAGGCATTACTAGAGAATAGCAACAAACAAAGAGACAAGAAGAAGGAGAGATAAAAGGACGGTAGATGTTTGAAAGGAAAGAAGAAACAAATCAGACCAGACCACATACCAACCGTCAATCGGGGATACTCTTCATCTGGAAGAAGGGAAACTCTGATAGAAAACCTTTGCAGCCTCCCAGACAGACAGATCTAGCAGGTTTAAATTAGGCTATGGGAGCACTCTTACATAGAAAAAAAATAACCCGCCAGAAAACTAAGATGTTCACCGAAATGTGCAAACTGCCGGGCCAAGCCCTAACAAACTCACACTAGTCTCATAATAATAATGCATTAATAGCGCATATCCACGCTCTACAGTACGCTCTAGGCGTTTTCCAACAATCATTAT